TAATTGAATGGCTCAGTGATACCACAGCAAAAACAAAACCGAAAAACGCTCGACGTTGTACTCAGGGGAAATTTACTGCAAATCCGAAGCAGTATTTTCAATTTTTATGGTAGATCCAAATAACGATCGTATCATTGACAGGGGGTTAATAATATTCGTAAACAGACGTACAGGATAAAGTAAAGCAATATTTAATTATGAAGAAATATGTCAATATCTGGATGTTAAAATTTCGCTTTATTAGTGATCGGTGTGTAACGCATTAATTGGCACAATCATACAAATAAATGATTTCAGCTACTTCCGTCTGCTACTGCATCTGGTCTGTCACAGAATTGAAATGGTGTTACCTTATCCTCTTGGCCTGTAATTTACGACAACATAGTTCTGCGTTGGAGAAATGTTATTACCTGGAGAATGTCTTAAATGCTTCTTGGGCGATTGTCATAGATTTTTGGCTCCATGCGCTACTATTGCATATACTGCGCCCATTTTGCGCAAATAACGCGGAATAAGTATGTATAATTTTAAATATTTGTTAAACCGTTTAGCTCCAGGTTTACCTGGATTCTCAAGTTTGCCAGATGAATAGAATTCTGTATCCAGGTTAGTAACTCTTTGGCACGTTTGTGATTTTTTTTCTAGATCTAAATACTCGTATCGTGAAACGTCCGGCTGACCCCGATTTTTTTGCATAACCTGTCACACCAGCGTTTGTAATGCGCAAAGTTGTAACTTCAGCCGACGCATACAAAGCATTATCGTAAAATCAACAAGGGCTTGTAAATCAGGTAACGTCTTAAACGCGAAGTATTTTCGTACCGCGAGACATCATAACTATTTAACCTTTCCTTAACCGATTCTAATGTAAAATGATCTGGGTAATCGATTTTTTCAAAATCCTCGGCGATTTTTTTGAATTTCGTTAGCTTTTTGTGTAATCTCAGTAATTTTTGTCCCTTCAACTATATTGTAGGGAGCATTAAGATTTCGTAATTCTCGTCGAAGCTGAGAGAGCCTAGAAGACCCAGCATTTTCATTCAATGCCGATGTAGCTAACTTTTGTGATTCAGACTTCACATCTTTTCACCAAGTTTGTCTTGTAAAATTCGTTGTGCCAATTCTTAAATAGTTTCTTCTGACTTTATTGAGGCCTTGTCTAGAGTTACGAGATTTACGACTTTCCCACGGCCACTTTTTTGAGCAGGAATCAATATTCTTATCTGTTCATCATTGAATTTGAAACCAGCTCGAAGGCGTCTTCATGCTTGATCCCTCTTTCTATCATCTGTAAGTTCATTAAGCAACTCAGAAGTACACTCATACCCCGTTATATCCCCCCTTTCGTTTATATAAGCGGGGTGGGGATACACGTATAAGCGGGGATGGATGATCTCGTAGTCACATGAAAAGAATTATAATGATAACTTGCTAACTATCTTACTATTATTTTAGAAGAGCTCCTTATTGAGAAAAGTCAAGAAACAAATGTTATCGATGAATCTGTATGTCATCAAAGCCAGATAGGATCTGTGAAAAAATGTTCGGTTTGTCAATTGTCCGATATTGATAACAAGAAGCGAATCTGTCCTACATGCCCGTAACAAATTACCAACAATTGCCGAGATGAATTAACAATCGAATGAGTTAGCTGACATCATGAACATCACTGAAAAATCTCTCGTTAATATTACCTATTCTCACACATTTGAAAAGACGGGAGAGTGAAGTTTATATGTCACAGTTATTTGTTCCTGACCCAATAGGAATCAGCACTAACACAACAACCACAACTGAGAATCCAATGCTCATGAAGCTTATATGTTTGGTAAGCGTAACCGTTGCCGTGTGCGCAATGATTTGACACAGAATATTAAGTATGATTTAAATTTCGATATACAGATTCGCTTGATTATTCGAAAACGCAAAAAATCGATTTTCGTCATAATCTGGAATAGCGTAATGGTAGATTTTGTCAAATAACACTGGACTAAATCAGGATTGGCGAACTATTTGCTCAATATCTTACAGAGAACAAATGAAGAGGCGATGCAGAAGCTTCAAAAACACCCAAGAAAGAACAAAAAAGGCCTATCCTTTCTTCATATCTTGAATTAATTGAGTCGGATATTCGTATATAAAGATCAGTGACATACCTAATAGAAACGTAAAGCTTGCCTCGACTCAAATCCTAGTAAATTAGGTGCAACTGTAAACTAAATGCTTAGCTAATCGATGTGTTGGTCGCAAAGCTGGCTGCAGTTAATTGTAGTTTGAATTGTCATTATCAGTCTCCGTTAATCTGTCAAATTGCAATATTGTATATTAGTTAGACAAATATTAATATCAATTATACAATCTAATCGTAATGTAAAATCATCGTTCAAATAGTAAGGCTAAAAATATAAATCACCGCGCGCGATTAGATCAACAAATTGTCCCAATAATTACACAAACAATATAACCAGTCTATCCAGTAATTTCAATGCATTTACAGTCTAACCATAATGCTAAAAAGCATATGATTGCACATCAGGTGCAAACATAATGCTAAAAATTGTACCAGTAATTAATGCAGTCAGGACTTATACCAAAAATGGTTATCGATTCTAGAGTAATCTTGAATTTGATTGGCTCTTACTCGTACACTTCAACTGAAATTTGCAAATTTTTACGATATTGACTACACTAGTATATCGCCATACTTGCGATTCCTTCATCTCACAGGGCTTTAATCCGAATTTACTGTATTTTCAACTAATTCAACAAATAGACAAGTAAATTCCCTGGCTTTTTGCGTTGCTTGTGACTGCTGTGATTTCGACATTTTTTTGCTTTGGTATGTAGGTATGAAATATGTAAGTCTATATATGGTTTAGATTGACCGACGAAAGCAATTTTACTGTATTTTCAGGTCTTATACAACTTTTCAGAGACGTGAGTATTAGACGAGCTTGCGTGATTATGAAAGAGGAGGTTTTCTACTGTCTATTGGTATTTATCAAACGGAGGTCAAGCAACTAAACGTAGAATTTTGTCAAAAAACGTCCAATAAAAATGGCTCTTTTGTATATGAAAAATATCCAATAAAACAGCCCTTTGGCATGGAAAATTTTTAGAAGCGTTCAGAATATTCTGAATAATGTTTCTATAACATATAAGCGATCGAGACACTATCCATATTTGGTATAAGTCCTGACTGTAATGTCAAAAGCAATTGTCGTACACACACATTGACTACATTTACTATCTAACCGTAAACTGCGTTTGATACCTTAATCACAAAAGCCCACTAGTGAAGCGATGATGAGAACATGATTAACCCTTCGCATTCACATTAATATATCATTCGATAAAATGTTGTTTATATTACTAATTCTCTGTATTATTCCGATCTGATATGTCAATTCGGAACTAACATAAATTCCGTACTGACATAAATTCCGTCTGACATACAACAGTATTCCTATAGCCATAGAGGTACGCAGCCTACCGCAACCCCAATCACACGCTCGATCTATCCCCGAGCGTTCTTACATTCAGGCATATTGTGAATTGTCGCGTACTTTGAATGGATTGACGTCATACAGAGCTGGTAATATGTTACAACGTTAATACAATTGCTTCGGCACGTATATTTTTATTCATTTTTTCTATCCTGCTGCATTATATTATGTGGGCACATTTAATATCTGTGCCAGCAGCTTCAAAGAATCCGTAAATTACAAACCTGTGTCAATAAATCAATTTTAGAATCACTGACACTTTTTTATTAACCGTTTGCTGATGCCCTAGGCTCCACCGTAAAATAACTGAAGACAATTCCCGAGATAATAACATGTTAATGATAAACAATCGTTGACTGTCACATTGTATACACACAGTATATATTGATATGAGCTTTTTTACGAAAATTACATTGAGAATTCGTATGTTACGCTTAAGAAAACGCTGTGTTTGACATGTTATATCTTGACCCTTGCGAACGGATTGAAATATCTGCATAATCTTGATATCATTCGTAAAGCCATGATACGTCTTCGCACGCTGTGCATCGGTTAATACACGCGCAAACAAAGAAGGCGCGACAAACAGATAAAGAATTTGCTTTTAATTATTCAGGACATAGTGGAAACCGATAAATAGCAATTAACTTCTCACATCACATCGCATGATATGATTATATCTTTGTTTTACTACAGACAGTATGGTTGGTTTGGCCATTTTATCTGTAATTATGTGCATAGAATGCGATATGTGAAATGTCACAATATTGGAAGTTTTGCGACGTTGTAAGCAAATTACATTTCACGGAGTAGGAGTACAAAGAGCTAGCGGCCTTTAAGAAGATATTGGTCATCAGTTGACTTTTAACTTAATCAAGTAGTAAGAAAGTTATTTTGTAAATTTTACAATAAATTTGTCATTCAATATTGAATATATACTGAGATTGTATAGGGAGAATTACCATCTAATTATTATTCGGCTAGGCAATCGTATCGTTGATGTTTCTTGACTACATAGATCACGCTGATATCACCACTATCATAGAGATCAGTTTAATTGCGTGGCTTATGGACTTATTAACTAAGTGAAAAAATTTTTTAATGTCACACTGATACTATTGTTATTCTGTACGTCAATCACGATATGATGTAACGGTGTGTTACACTAGGCTATCCTTTATGATTTACTATTGGTCGACAGTCGCAAACTCTCACGCTCCTTATTGCATTATGCATCATAATAAACTACAGTTAATCCTAGTAATACAGTGATACCCAATACCCAGCTAATAAATTGTTCTTTTCCAAATTCTATATTAATATGCAAATATATCATACCCACCCCCGAGTTTCTATTTCCTTTTTCTATCCTATTTTTTTTACGTCAGAAATCAACCCTAATTGGTCAAATTTTCATCATGGGATGACTTGATTTTACGGTTAAATAAATCCTCGCCTTTCAAAGAACTAAATCATAAACAATTGATAATAGATATGCGTCTGATCTCGATACATCAATTACTTTCTGCACTCCAAATGTTTGTATCTATAAGCACGAACCTAGTTCCTCATTCCTGTAGTGACCCATCACCTTCACTCCCGACACACGCGTATCTGTCGAATCTCAAAGAACGATTTAACTATGCTTCGCATGTCTGTGCAGCAATGGTATTAAACACCAATACTGGAGCCAGATCTGCTCATGCTATTCTTACTGAAAGCAAGGATCAATATATGCTTAATGAATGTGACGCCGGGAAGTTTGTAGTTGTTCAACTATGCAATGATATCTTGATCGATACAATTGTACTTGCCAATTTCGAGTTTTTCTCGTCAACTTTTAAACATATTAGAATTTCCGCCAACAATGAACATCCGCCTAGAAAAGAAAGGCCATGGCGTTTGTTGGGAGAATATAAAGCTGGGAACACGAGAGACTTACAGGTAGGAAAGAAGATTCATGATGCGAACCAATGTGATTATTTAGCAACTGGATTAGTGTATCTTGTAATAGACCCTACTTGTAAAGTTAAGGTTTACATCATGTCTAAGACATACCTTCATAAAGGCTGCCAACTTTGTTGAACTATATAATCATAGCAGTAACAGTTTAATGCCAGCTTGGTTATGACATGATGCTTACCATTATGCGAATTATTACTCACTCCTACCAGGTATTCAAAGTCAAAGATCCTCTCCTTTGGGCCCGTTATATTCGTATAGACTTTGTAAGTCACTACGGCCGTCAATACTACTGTCCTGTCAGCCTTTTACGCGTATACGGAGTCACCATGATTGAAGACTATAGGCGCAAGGAAGAAGAGGACTCTTCCTCCGGAGCTTCTAATATAACCACAAGAATAAATAAAACCGATGATAACGGCGCTATGGGAGAGCTTATTGACTATTTAAAAACTGAGGAAGAGACGTCAAAAGGGATTGATAAGAAACTGAGTGGCGAGAATGAGGAAAAAGGCAGCGAAGAAAAAAGTGATAAACGGAATGGTGGTGGTAATGGGAAAAATGAAGGATTGAGTCCTGGAAATGATCAGGGAAGCGATGATGATAGAAAGGGGAGGGTTAACGAAGCAAGCGGCGGCGAAGTTGATAGAGTAACCAATTCAGGGAAACGTAATCTGTATAGAGAAGATTCAAATTTTTTGCATACACTCCTTGCCTCTGATTCTATGTCTATGTTTCAGTGTCCTCGAATACATGACGAAAAGGAAATATTTAGCTATCCGCTCTGCAAAATTACAAATGACCCATATGTCTCTCCCTCCACTCAACTGTCTTCACAAGAAGCTTTCCCTCGCATCCAAAAAGAAGATTCCAATGCTGCTGATACTCAGAGCATCTATCAAAAGTTTCTCAATCGTTTTTCTGATCTTGAACTTAATGCAATTGCAGAAAGGAAATCTACAAAGAAGGTCCTGAACAAGATTTTGGGTTTTATGACCAAATTAAACCACAATATGACGGGACTGGTGAGTATCAGAGTTGCAACTAATTTAATGGTTGGAATATGAATTGCTAATAAGTGGATTGGATTTGAGCAAACCATGGTAAATGGCATATGCGTATATTCATCATATAATTGCCTTCTAGGAAGAAAGATTGACGAGGGTTGAAAGCACTATAAGTGAGCATGGCAGAGAGATAAGAGAGCATGGCAGAGAGATAAGATTGCTATCTAAACGGATGGAATTTTATGCAGAGGTAAGAACTTGTATGTAGTTAGAACAACACACTCGCGAGTCTTATCATAATTTGATTAATAACGAACGTAATGTCCAGAGCATTATAGATAAAATTACGAATATGTCATTGGCGCAGCAATGACTTGCCATTTATTATCCGTTAGGACTCTCCTCCTTTGTTCTCGTCAACCTTTTGTCATTCCTTTTTTAGTCATCTTGCCTAATTCTACTTATTTTTTTCTGCTCTCAGATTTCTACTCTGGAATATGTCATCATCGTTTGGCTTCTTATCCTTACGCTTGTCATGGTTGCAGTATTATACAATTACTATGTTCCACAGAAATTTCTCGACACTATTCATGACTTGTACCGTATGATACTATATAGCAATAGTTAGATACTTTGTCGAAAAGCAGTATTGCGTTTTAACATAATTATTCCGTCACAGACATGCGAAAAAGGGATCTATTTTAATTTAGAAGAAGGCTGTTGTTTGTTTGCTAAATAGAAATAACAAAGTGACGTATTTACAATGTCGGTAAGTTAAAAAGTGATGTATGGAATATGTCTAGCATGATGAAAATATCAAAGTGACGTATTTACAATGTCAGTAAGTTGCAAGTGGTATGATTAAATAATTTAGTGCAAAACAGTTGTTGTATCTGGTAATGAAAACATTTAGTAATTACTTAATTAATCTAACCTTATTATTTAACGTTAAGTACATTTTCATCGCTGTATCCTGATGTATCCTCATGCACATACTTTCCTATTTTATAATTTCTTCATTCTCCATTCTTCCTATCAGCACTTCATTTCCTAAACTGTTTTCCGCACTAACCTTCTAATACACGAATTCCGTAATTTTAATGTAGATCTTTAACGACCGTTCTTATATTACTATACCCAACCCACCCCCCACCGGAGACTAGCGCTTTTTATACTATTTTTCAAAATTTCAACATGTGATTAATTCATTCACAATCTGTAACACTGTTGCATACATACTATCGCACTACATCAAACTTACTTCTACTGTGACTTTGACCAACGTCTTCTGTCAAAAAGTCAAAATACTCTCATTAAAAATAAAACTCCCATTATCATTACATTCATAATTTTAAAATAATATTGATTTTATTCGCATGTAAAAAATTTTGTCGTCCTTTTCTTTATTTACTCATAAAAAAGTTATCAGGTGAGAAACACAAACTAAACTGTTATGCGCCTTAATATTAAATTAACATTGTTAACGTTAAGTACATAAAAAAAATTTTTTTTTTTTATATTTCTTTATTTGCATGTAAATTTGTCGTTATTCATTTCTTTATTACTCATAATCATAAATCTTATTACCCATAAAAAGATATGCCCCCAACCCACTTCATCTAAATCTAGTCGCACCATCTGATTTTGTGTAAGATTCCACAGCTACTCATATAGGCTACAACTATATGCATCACCTGATTAATTTAACCCTCTGATGTTACATTCGCCTTTTTGCACACACACATGCAATTAATATTAACCGTTTTAAGCTATGTATTCCCCACTCGAATAAAAAACTTTTTCGTTTATTTAGTAGGCAGATTTTTAACGTTATTATACTTTTGCTTCAATGCTTTCATCGGTCAGCTGATCTCATTTGATGTCAACAATTGGTCATTTTTCTGTGCTAGTCCGTATTAAGCTGATTTTTCGCTCCAAATGGTTAGCCTCATGCAGTAAAGTTGGGGGTCAATTTTATATCTATACTATTTTCTCTATTCTATTCTATTCATTTCATTTCATTTCATTTCGACTCATTTCATTGAATTTCATTTCAACAGAAGCGAAGTTGAAGTAGATTACCCGAATTCTCATTTGGGGTGGCGGAATGAGGTTTATTTTATACATAATTTTTTATGCGGAGCAGTATATACTCACCTGACTTACACGATTTTATGTGGTGTGATCAAAACTACAACAACGACAACGTTAATGTTATTTTTAATTTAGTGTAACCTCGATGTGGTGTGATCAACAACCTGCGATAAGTGACGTAATGAAATTTGCGCCAAAGTGGTGTGATCAACAACCTGTGATAAGTGACGTAATGGAATTTGCTAGAATAGAATCTTTCGCGAAAACGCCAAAGTGGTGTGATTAACAACCGATAAAGTCTTTTACAATAATTCGACAAAAAAAAACAACGCCAAAGTGGTGTGATCAAAATTGGATTATTTGTACGTTATTATTATTATTAGAGAAATCTCACTATTCAATCCCAAAACTTATAAATACAGTCGTTCCGCTTCGTCTGTCCGCATCATCACAGATTAAGATTCTAAAAAACTATTTCTAATAAATACACATTTATTATTATACTCCTCCTATAATCTAGTATCAAAAAAAAATGCCTGCTTCCATGTCATTGATTGTATATGTCGTCGAGCAAAATGTAGAAACGGTCAATAATTACGAAATACAAAGAGGAATAGGGCTGAGTCACATACCTGAAGGGGAACCGCAGCGGATACATTTTACATACTTTATCCCTGATCCAGAAATAACAACCGACAGTAATGAAGAGCCTTCTGAACCTTTAACCGGCGGCGCATTACAAACGAATGCAGTGTATCTTGTCCACGGAAAATTCTCGTACTTGGTTAACGACAATTCATTCGATATGGTCGTTTTCTCCCACGTACTACTTCCGATCGAAAGTGCAGATTGTCCCGAAGCGCCAATTATCGCTAAATTTATCGGAAAGGTTACGAGCGTACCGTCTGTCACTAATAATGGACTAAGACTTTCGGTAACAGTTTCTGAATATATACGGAAAGGAGAAAGACCAGTACGTGAAGTAATAGTGACGCACCCCACAACCGGCAGACTTTCGAAATCTATAACTGCTGCCCAGAAAAACGCCACAGTCCAATTTACGGGGATTTTAATTATATACGAAGGCGTTCTCTATTGCGATGTTTTAGATTTCTCTTTTGTTGGGATCCGATCCGATGATTTGGTACATTCTTATAATCCCTGGTCTACCAAAGATACAACGACGACCGAATCATCGGTCGCAAAACGTGTACAAGAATTACATATAGAGCAAATGTCCACGCCTCCAATAGTACCGCCGTCGCTACAAAAGAAGGTTACAAGAGGCAGAAGAAAGGTCATTGAAGAAGTGACAACAGGGAGTATTGCTGCGTCTATAATTAAGAAACGGCAAGCAGACCAAAAAATGGATTCAGTTAATAACAAATCGAATAAAAAGCAAAAAAAAGTCGTAGATAATTAATCAAGCTAAACTTATTTAGTTCTAACCTATATTTCTAATATATTAATGTACTTAACAAAATTCGTTGTATACACCCACTTTTTTTCTTTTTGAATAAAAAATAGTTTGGTAATACGATATCTATAGTATCTGTATTGTAATTGCCGTATAAGATTTAATTTAATTATGATCGAATTATGCAAGTAACGATATTGTAATCTCGTAATCGTTGATAATAAAAAAAGTCATGATTTCGAAGTGTCGTAATCTAATCGTAGCCACCCACTCTACGTATGGTAGTCAACTATTAAATGATGAGACGTTATACCTCAGTTGGAACTGTCTCAATTCTGGATTGAATAACTGGAGAGAGTAGACACAAATAATAAGCGATAGTGTGATCTGATATCAAAGATACAACTACATAATGTTATTTATGTAATAATAATAATAATATTTCGATGTGGTGTGATGTGATATTGCATAAGATGTGGCGTGATAAAATTTCAGCCACAATCCGTGGTGTGATCAACAAAGTGACGCAATGAAATTCCCCAATCAATAGGTTGTAAGATATGCGAGCGATAGTTTGAGCTCTGTTAAACTCCAAAGTGGTGTGATAAGGGCGGAGTTTGAACAGTGCATAATTATTTAATGTATAGTAATAAATAAATAAACATCAACTTAATTTATCTAAAAAGTAATTAAACAAAAATGTATTCATTATCACCGATTTAAATGTATAAGACTTAATTTGCAATTGATAAGTTCTTTCTTTAACGATAATATAATTTTGTCTCCACAATTTCCTCGGTGGCTTAGCGCATTTGATGGCAACGATTGGTCAGTTTTCTGCACTAGTCTTTATCCAGGCAATTTTTCGCTTTAAATGGTTAGCGTCA